TTTTGATTTTAGAACTCAAAGAGGCTCTCTCGTGAACAGTAGCATATATATTCACTCACAACCCGACCCGAAACCCAAAAGATCCGAAATAAAAACGCAAAGAAAAACGAAACCTGGAAGCTCTCTGACTGCTGTGCGGTCGACCGCGTCGGTCGACCGCCACGGCGGTCGACCGCGCCGGGCGGGACAAAAATGCCTGCTGCTGGGCATTTCACACGTTGGCCATAGCACTCGATTTCTCTCGCTTAAAATCACTTGTTGGGTTCTCAAACACAGATAAATACATTCATATGACATATATATGTGTATATATATTATTTTTCATCACAAGGAAAATATTTACTATTAATAATTCACATATATTTATTGTAGAAATTTTCGGGGTTTTACAGAAGGGAGAGGCTCGATGAGGATGTTTGTATTTAGAATGCAATGATAGGGATGTATTCCAGATATGGGAGGTAGGGTTTGCGAGGAGGGTCTTTGATGGGATGGTTTCATCGATGATAGGGATGTAATCATATCTCACAAGTTTGTTTGTGTTTCATCGAAGTTGTAATCTGTGAATTTGTAAGAATAATCATATTGTGTACTCAAGCAATAACACCTGTAAGAAGTTTTAAAAGCAGCTTATCTTTTTTTGTTTTTTCGACTATGTTATCTTTCAGCTGAATAAATTATCTTTCACGTGAACATGTCAACTTTCTTCATAACATGTTAACTTTAATCTGAATATGTTAACTTTCATCCTAATATGTTAGCTTTAATTGTGACATGTTAACTTTCATCATTATATGTTAACTTTCCTCGTAACATGTTAACTTTTAGCTGAACATGTTAACTTTCATCATAATATGTTAACTTTCACTGTTACATGTTAACTTTCATAATAATATGTTGACTTTCTTCATAACAAGTTTTTTTGAACTAAAATTTGATGTGTTTGAAAGACTGAAAGTCCCTCAAGATGATTTATCATTGATTATACAAATATGTTAACTTTCATAATAATATGTTAACTTTCATAATAATTGTTACATGTTTTCTCATACAAATATCTTACAAAAACCACTCCAATCTCCGTGCAAATCTATAAATTTTAGTATACGGGCAATCTTTAGAAAGAAGCTGGGCTTGATCGTCGCAGTTGATGCTTTGGTTCTGGTGGTGGCGGAGAATGTAATATCGTTCTCTTCTTCAAATTGTGAGATCTTGTTCTCCAGTTCATTGGTGTATGCCTATCCATTATAAAAACAAGTTTCTCTCAAAACACAACACATTCATAAGATGAGAAAAGTAATCATTCTGAGAAAAAGTTAGCATGTTATGAAGAAAGTTAACATATTATTATGAAAGTTAACATGTAACAATGAAAGTTAACATATTATGATGAAAGTTAACTAACATATTATTATGAAAGTTAACATGTAACAATGAAAGTTAACATATTATGATGAAAGTTAACATGTTCAGCTGAAAGTTAACATGTTACGAGTATTATGATGAAAGTTAACATGTTCAGCTGAAAGTTAACATGTTACGAGGAGAGTTAACATATAATGATAAAAGTTAACATGTACCAGTTAAAGTTAACATAGTATACATGTCATGTTCTTGCTGATCATGAGATTTGACAGACATTCTATGTTCTTATGAGATTTAGCATTAATCAAAGTTTCACTTATTTTGCCACAAATAAGAGACAACCAAACCGTATGGTTAGATAAATAGCACAATTATCGGCTGGAGCTTTTAGATGTTATAAATATTACAGTACTGGATTCACAATGGTAACATCAGTTGATAAAAAACTTGGTAAAATAAAAATTCTAAGCCATTGTAAAACACAATCTTGCCCAAAAGAGAAAACTAATAGCATATTCTCAAAGTAACAAATGGGCACAACAAAACAAATGATTTTTTTCTTCTCATATATAATGAACAATGAAGAGATAGTGGTTAATTCCTTAGAGGGCTGTGGTCCTGGGGACATAGACTTACATTGGTCATACCACAAAGTCTCAAGACTCCCAAACAAAAATTCACATGTTTATGTGTAATACTAATCTTATTACTTCAGTGAAGCAAAATGATAAACAATTGGTGTGCAGGGCGCACAAAAGAGCCACAAGAATCAAACACACAGATATAACCATAGGAAAGTGGGTTACGCCATGAACCTGCACCTATAAATCACTTGCTCACACCATACAAAACAAAAACAATGAAAAAACCACAGATGATCAGAAACTTTCTTGCCCTGAGCAGCTACCCAGGGCAAGCCTTGTGTGGCTCCACCACCGCTCCATGGCCGCGCCGACGGGGAGGACTCCCTCCACCCTAGCTCCGTCGCGCGGACTTTTTGAACAACCCTAATATTTAGAAATTACTATTGGTTCTGCTATGTTATCTATAATTGTATAGCTGGGAAAAACTTATGAGCAGATCAGAGTCCATGTCCTTTTATATATAGTCTTGTATTTTTAGATCTGTGTCTGGATTCTACGATGATCCGAATACGTATCTAGTTGAAGATAGGTAATGCTTGGTTGAAGTTGTAGGCTGTCTAAAAAATCACAATAGATAGCTGATTCCCCATCAAACACCGATGATGGAAGTTACAATCTGACGACTTCCAAAGGCTATAATTTGAAGACTTTCACATGTCAAAGAGTTAAAGCAAAGATTACAAAACGACAGTCTTTAGCAATACTCTGACAGAAAGGGATTACAAATCAACGATCTCTTCAAACCAAGACGTGGAAGTCCTCCCCGCGTACCATCATCAAGACACTACACCGATTCAATCACCTACGCCGCTTCAACAGCTACAAACACGAATGCAGCTTCTTATGTGAGATGATTGATCTTGATGGCTGCGACAACAACATGACTAATATTATATTAGCAACCAGTAGAGGTGCTGATGAGCAGTGTAATGATATTCGACACACTCAGTGGAGATCATGACCTGCAGTTGATAGAGCGTTATTGAGATGCTTCAATTGTCACAAATGGCCTGAATAAGGCCTTCTTTACTGGTCATTGGTGTCATCCATATATAAAGACAGAGAAATCTAAATACTGCAAACGCAGCTCCATCGCTGCCCAACGCAGCTCCAATCGCTGCCAAGCACAGCTCAAACGCAGCTCCATCGCTGCCCAACGCAGCTCCAATCGCTGCCAAGCACAGCTTGAACGCAGCTCCATCGCTGTCCAACGCAGCCTATCAATCGCTGCCCAACGCAACTTATCAACCGCTGCCAACGTAGCTCATCCATCACTGCCCAACGCAGCCCGTCAGTCGCTGCCAAACGCAGCTCAATCACCGCCAGAACG